GGCTGCGGCGGTTTTTGAGCACAAACTTCGGGAGTTTGGTGCTGACACGGGGTGCCTTCCCGTGGTGCACACCTCCCCCCCGTCTCGGAGCTCGCTCCGTTGTAGCTGAGGAGAAGGTTGTGCCTGGGGGATCTCTGCTATGAAACGAGCCTCCCTCGGGTCTCCTCAGAGCTCCGCAGAGCTGCCCTCGGGGCCCAGGGCAGGCCGGTGTGTGAACGCTCTGCTCGCCTTTGAAACACAGGCCTGGGTCAGCCCCAGTCAGCCGCGTCGCTTGTTCCTTGCATAGGACAAGCTGTGGTTTGTACCCGAGTCTTGCACCGTTTACACTGTGCTTTGGAGAACCTATTCCCGTGGTTATGGAAGTGGGATACAAAACACTGAATTCGTTAGCACTGTGCTGGAATCGAGTTAATTAGTATGTTTTGTTTACCGTGATGATCGTGCAATGCCGTGTGGAATACATAGTGAAATGCAGCGCTGCCTGGCACTGCTAGGATGCAGTGCTTATAAATTGGATTCTGGCTACGGTTGTAATTGTGTTGGAGTTTAGGCTTCGGTGCTGAAATAAATTAGAGAAGCTAATGCTTGACTTGGGCTGCAGACCTTTACAGGTTTCGAGGTGGTGCTCTGGAATGTAAATGTGCCCTTTCTTAGCATAAAAACACTGTTCCAGATAGGCGTTTTGTACTTCAAGAAGTCATTATGGGCACCTAATTCTATATTGGTCACCAGAATAGTCTGCAGCAGACATTTTGGAAAGTGCTTATTGCTTTTTCATATGCTCAGGACAGCTGAATATGCTGCACCAATTGGCTACAAGATCCCAAAGCTGCCACTCATCTTGAAAATCTAAATTGATGCCTGCAGCACTGATGTCAATTTGTATGTGTAAAGGCTTAATACAGCAAAGGGAAACGTACTGGCGTACAGCAGGAGGAAAGTATGAGAAAAGAACTAGAACCATAAAGGATACTTTATCAGTCTAATGTCTGCTTTATTCACATGGAATAAGATTTGCTGATTTTATGGGGAGGGGGGAATACTGCTTCTGCTACCCATTTAATAGCTATTTCTGCTATCATTACTACATTAGCAGGGTCATTTGAAATGTGGCTGCAAGATATGTTAAGCTGAAGATCACTAGCAGTGTTACAGTGCTTACTCTTGACAGTCTGTCTGTCCCTATATCCTCTCTCCTGCAGCAGCCATTACCTACTGAATAAGAAGAGCCTTTCCTTGGTTTTCTCAGTTTGCACAGAGGAGGCATTACCCGCCTTGTGCTGAACCTGTGCCAATGTCCCAAGGACAGATGAGCCGTGTCATTTTATCCTGACATGTTTCTGTTGATACTATTCTTATTCATGTATCTGTTTTAATCATTTATGTTTGATGTCATCGAGCAGCAATGCAGAGTTCTGGTTGAGTTGGCCCCCATTGTAAAATAGAAAAGCAAGATGACGTGACATCCACGCTGCTAAATAGATGGCTTTGTGAGGCAGATGCACCTGTCCAAGGCACCTAGCAGAGGTTTAGGTATTAGCAAGATCTTTCCAACTTACTAGACTAAAATAGAAATCCATTTACCCTTCACAAGCTGTTCAGTGTCTTTCATGCCGCTTTTCCCTAATCAATTATAAACTATTTTTAGCCTGCACCAGGATTTTCTGACTTCCACCCTAGTACGTTATCCTGTTTGATGCTTTACAATAAAACAAGCAGCAAAACTGACCTTTGAGCAAGAAGTCTTGCAGATTTTTGAGCAGAGTTTAAGGTCCATTCTGGAAATCATGTGCCTTGTTATTCTTTTAGGCCAAGCTGGTGAGAAGTAGAAGGGGAAGAAAATTATCTGCATTCTGGAGCAGGATAATAGGGGTCACCAGCATCCTCCATTGCGCTGAGAATTTACCTAAGCTCCTCCTTCACTGTCCTTCTCATGGGCCTTGAAATGAGGTGTTTTTTTGCTATGGAGGTTTAAAATAAGACTTATGTGATACTTTTATCCCTTTCCAGATTGCTGACCCTGAGACCTGTGACCGCATGTATGAGAGCTTAGTCAGAATCCATACCAACTACTACAAAAACAAGGTGAGCTTTGGCATTAGCCACCATCCCTCTTTTAGGGAGTGAGTCACCACCTGCTGCAGTTGGCTGCCTCATCCCCGCAGGGTTGCTGGGAATGTCGTAACAGACAAATGAGTGGTCAGGTGGATGCAGCGCTACCTGGTGCCTTTGGTCGTTCCAGGAAAGCTGCAGACATCTTGGCCTCTGTGACATGTATGAACAATGCAGATGATAGTTCTTGGAATGGATGAAGAGGATTCTCAGAGCATGACTGAAAATGAGCTCGGACTCTGCTGTATGGTGACATTTTTACCTTGTTTAATGCACTACAAGTAATGTATTTTTCTCTCTCTCGGCTACTTGCTTGCTTGTGAAGTATCCACGCCTGAAAGACACAAGCTTCACTGGAGTGACAGTAGAAGATTGCAAGATGATCCTAGCAACAGGTACTAATACTGTGCTTGATTTGAGAATAAGTCAGTGCAGGAGATAAAGTACATTCTCATCTTTGTGGTGTTCACTGCATCACTTCTACTAAACACCTGTGACTAAAGGACAGAATGGGACTGCCATGCCAGTATGTTAGGATGTTTAATGAGTAGTAAGTTCAGGAATAATTGAGGAGATCTTCAGCAATCTATCAGGGTGAAAAGTCGATTGTACTTTGCACTGGGCAGGAACAACAGAGGGTTTCCAAGGGCTCTTTGACATCATATAGCAGGAGCTATGTGAAGGAAATGCATGTTTGCTACATCATTCAAAAAATTCTCAGCTTCTGTTCCACCGTGGTCAGATTGCCTTCAGTATTTCTCCTTTTGCATTTGAGAGAGAAAACAGGGTACCGTAATGCAGAAATATTCTCAGCCAAATCATTTATTAGGTGCAATGTAGGAAGCTAGTGCAATTTTGTTCTGCTCCAGTTCCTAACTTTGATTGCAGTGCATGGAAACTGAATATTAGTTGTTAGTGATAAGGGACTCCCTACACAATTGATTGGAAGGGAAAACCAACTTGCCTTAGGCCCTGAAATAGAACTTCATTAAGATGAAAAGTCAAAGAAGGAAAATATATGTAAGGCAAAGTTTTCGTAAGAGGGCTTTCATTCCTTTGTGCTTTTCTTCCTCTTTCCCCCATGTCCCTTTTTCTCCCCTCGTTTTGCAGACATTCTGAAACAGATGGAAGACATGAAAAAAGGGACATGGAAAAAACTGCGAGAAAAGTTTTATGCCAAGAAATCTGAAGAGGACTCGAAGTGATAGGCTAACTTCCAGATTCTGCACTGTATATATTCCTAAAGCACTGTATGTTGCCATGATGAATAAAACCATTTATTCCTCTTAGCAAGAGCTTTTTTGTTCAGACCTACACCCTACACCCTTCACTTTCAGTGCCCCCTCTTTTTTTCCTTAAAAATCTAGGACATAGCTTAACATATCTGTGCTGAAACCATATTGAAGCCATGTAGTGTAGAAGAAAGAACTTTGTGGTGTTAGACCAGATCCTTTGTGTTACGAGAAACGGAACAACCAGGAGATGCACGGAGCAAGTAGCTACAACCGTGTTTGTTAGCTTTAAATTTGCTTGTGAAGATAACAATAGTGATGATGTGAAAACGTAGCTTGTGTTTCTGTGTGTTAGCACTGGTAACAGTGGAATTGAGGGAGGGATAACTTTAATAATCAATCAATCACATTTATTTTCCTTTTGAGAAGACACAGGAGAGGGCTGAGGGTGAGTTTACCATGGTGACAGTGGAGCAGTGTAAGGGTTTAATTGAAATTTCAATCAAATGCTGCAGCAGTGTGTTGCTGGTCCAGCTAGCTATGTGCAATTTCCCTCAGCGTGAAGAGAGACGGTTCTGTATGGGTTACTACATATCTGAGAGATAAAGATAGGTTTTAGGGACATGTTGGTATATAGGGTCATAACCAAATTTCAAGTTTGATCAGTCCATTGCTGTGGCCTATTTTTATTCCTTTTTGAAGCTTTAATGCTTGCATCAGTGTCTATTCTCAGGAAGCAGAGGCACAGGACTGTAGCTGGGGCAGCTACAGCACCGCTTGGCTTCAGAAGGATGGGTGTCTAGAACACAGCTATGCCAGGACTCTGCTTAGCTCCAGGCAGCACCAACAGCTGCTCCTTTTTATGTATTTGAACAGTGTTTTCCTGGCAAGTAGTGAAAGACACTGAAACTTTGCAGCAGGCTCTAATTTTAGCTTCAGAAAACAAGGCTGCTGTTCAAGGTAGTTCTTCATGGTAGCATTCGTCTTCATCTTCTGACGAACATCATACTACATTTTAAAGTTTAACAGCTGGAGCTGAGAGCATTGGGTTGTGGAGCATCTTGGGTAATACAGCCCTGGTTTGGCTTCAGGTCTTTGGATTGTTCTGTATTTCTACTTATAACAGCCTCATTACATACCAGAGTGCAGAGGAAGGGAGCTTTCTTTACCATGTTTAATTTTTTATTATAACATGATTTTGTATTTAATTTAGTTAAGGCAATTTACACTTTAGTTCTTAAGTAACAATAACAAAAAAAAAAGTAAAACTTTACACCAGAGATGAAACTAAAACACAGGACACCCCTTCACAGTGAACTCCTGTAAACCTGCAGTCTCCTACTACTACTGCCCAGATATTCTTGGTCCACAGAAGGCAAAAGACTAGTTCACACTAGTAAAAGCTTGAATACTCATCCTTATCTGGTGAGTTAAATTAACAAAATCCATCTCCTTGAGTTTAGCTCCTCTTTACTGCACCACAGTGATGAACAGAACTCTTTTAAATGGAGAGGGGTCAGCATGGAGCAGGTACAGTAAATACGATGGCTGGTTTGCAAAGATCCACATGTACTAGTGCCACTCTTGGAATAAGTTACATGTTGTAGCCCTACAGGTAGTTACAGTACACCTGAGGTGGAGGCCATCAGAATGTAGCGCATGGAGATAAAGATACAACCCTCCACATTTGCAAAATAAAAATTATTGCAATGAGGAATAAAAGTCCTGTATAATTTATCTTCCTACAAGGGCATTAGAGTAACATGTGGGTCCAGCTATCATGAGGAATCCTGGCCAGTCCATGGTTCCTGAATTGCTTACAAGCGCTCTAAGGAAAATGTTGACTGTGAAGCCCTTCCGCATGGTCCGTCTTTCTCTGTCGGTGTCATCCATGCATGGAACCCAGGAATAAGCAGCCTTGTTAGCTGAAACGTATGTGTAGTCCCTTGGTGGGTGAAGCTGATGTTTCTTCTGGTGTCTCAGTGGTTCATGGTATTCTGGACATCCACAAACCCCATCCTTTGTCTGCGCTTCCGTTGCTCTGTCATCTGGAGTTCAAACAAGGACACAAGTGAGGTAGGAAACCAGGACCTCTTTCTATTGACCAACGTGCTCCTCAAGTGTGTGACTGACTAGGCTGCTTTTAAGCATCTGCCAGAAAACCCTGTGAGCTGGACTCTAGCTGATGAGGAAGTTAGTTAAGTAAGTATCAAAAAGCACATGTCCCAAGTGTCCCTGACCCCCGCCAAAAAGAGCTACAGGAGCCCTTTGCTCTCTATCTGAAGTTGTACTGGCTTGGGCTGGTTCTGCCTCCTTGCAATCGGTGTCTATTTTGGTAAGGACAGCACATTTCTACGGTCAGGTGTTCCTCAAGTGTTCCTATTTTTAAAACTGTTCAGTACCTGTTCCTTCAGCTCATTCAGCTGGGAGGTGAGATGGGACACCAGCTTCATTGTGGTGTTGAGTTTGTCTTGAAGATTTCGGATCTCATTCTGTTCCCCTTCCCCTTCATTGCTGACCAGTGACATGGCTCGCATCCGGGGGAACCAGTCGAGGTTCTTGTTCTGGAAAGGTGACCATGGAGAAAGGGAGTGGGAGAGCGGGTGAGGAGGGAGGAGATCTGGTAGGATTTAACAGGAAACCTGCCTATGCTTAGGGATTAAAGAAATTCCCAAAGGCTCATCTTGTCTGTATCTTTGCAAATTTTCCACAAATAGTCCATTTTCATTTTAAGCTTTTTTCTTGCAGCCTCCTGGGCTCAAGTTCAGAAGTTTTTTTTTTTTCTAAATTTCCTTTCCCTCCTTTCTTGCCTTGAAATCACCTTGAAGTCACACTCTCTACTGCTTGGTTCTGCCCTTGGTTCAATCCTTAAATACACAGTACGAAACATCAAACAGACAATGTGATGTTGGCTGAGATTGCAAAGTGGAAATAACCAGCTAAGAATGGCACAGTAACGTTATTAAATATTTTCCAAAAGCTGCTTCTCAAAACTGTTTTTCTTTGGCAAGCCCCTCGTTCTCAAATACCTCCCCGGGGTAGGCAGGTTGAAGTAGTGAAAGAGCTGCCCTGAGAGGAGACGTACCTTTATCATCTGCGCCACGTAACTCTCCGGCCCTGTGTAGTCTGTCTTGTTCTTCACTCGCACCAGCACTATGAAGTACAAGTAGTTCCACATGTTGTGCTCATATTTAATATGCTCCTCAAAGGACACTGTCTTGTTGTCAAACTTGTCCCTTTCGAGTCCTGGGAAAGGCAGTCAAGAACGGAGAAGGTAGAGGGAGGAGGAGGGGAGGGGAGGAGAAGGTAAGAAGTGAGGAAGCAAACAAATGTGAAAGGCAGTAGAGATAATTGCATCCTCTCCCAGGTGTGACTTTCAAGAAGTGCTTTTAATAATTAGTTGGCATTTAGCACACAAGAAGCATCCTAAACGGGGGGAAAATAACCCAGTTGTGCATTCAGGAGTCTTCTATTTAAAGTACTACAAGCTATGCTTCCTGCTTATGTATCTAAAAGCATAAAATGCACCCCGTGGGCCTTTCTTTTAAGAAAAAAAGCAGCTAGACTTATTGAGTTTTTCTCTTTTTTTGGATGCCTTCTGACAACTGAAAGCATTCCTGAACATCTTCCTGTATTTTATTTCTTTAGTAATATGGTGCTTTTTTTTTTTCCACCGGCTAAGTGGTCGTCTCGGGAGTGACAGATGAACAGTGAGGAGAACTGCACAACGTGGCGTTTAACAACACCTCATTAACAGGAGGCAAGGAGCAATACAGACAATTTCCCCTCTCAGTTTGTGTCCTTGTTTAAGCCTCCTCCCACTGCAGTGACCAGATTTAAGTTTTGCTGTGAACCAAACGAAAACCAGAAACCATCTGAAACTCCTTTCCTTCCATCAACCTTAGAAGAGAGGAACAGCTTTGGGGCAGTTCCTCTACACCGAGGTCGCAGCGCTCACCGCATATGAAACAGGTGGTCTTCAGTATCTCTTCCTTCTTTTGCTTCTCGCTCCTCAGATCAGCAAAAGTGTCAATAATGACGCCAAAGATGAGATTAAGGACGATGATAATGACAATGAAGAAGAAGAGGAGGTCGTAGACAACCCGAGCCGGAAACAAGGACTCCTGTAAGGGATGAAAGGGATAAACGTGTGTCTCTTGCACACCTCTCCTCTAGCCACTCCAACTATGCTGCCTCGTTACACGGGCCATGGGCTGAAGGTGCCAGGCAAGGAGGAGTAAAAGGTGTGATGGGGAAGAGAGGAGGAAAGCACTGGAGGTCAGTGTGGGGGACAGAGCTGGAGGTGTCACAGTTCCCCGGGAGGGAGGGCAGCTGCACAGCAGTATAGGCAGCAGGACTTGGCAGAAGAAAGGGGTCCCGCATGCTGCCCAAACTCACATCCTTCGATGGCTTCCGCAGAATGTCACCCACGCCCCCTCCGTTCCTCAGCCCGTGGTTCAGGACAGTGACGATGCACATGAGCAGCGTGTCGCAGGCACGTTCCCACTGGTCAGCGTCCGATTCTAGAGTACCAGAGTGGGACATAAAAGCAAACCCCAGAGCATAGACAGGGCAGAAGTGCCAGACCATTACAAAGAATCCAGAGCTATGAGGATGACTTGCTGCAGTGATGGCAGTGGCAAATCTCCTGGGAGCAGGTACTTGTTGTGGATCTCCCCCAACCAACAACTTCCCAGCAGCTCCTCCAGCTTGGTTCTTGCTGTGGAGGTGTTTGGCTGAGCACTCCTGAAGCTCCCACTTTCTTTATGACTAAACTGAATCTACTTCAACATTTTTATGCCAGGGTCAGTGTAAAATTTGCAGGCCTCTTGCCTAATACGTGCCAGAAAGGGTGTTGTTTCCATCTTTGAAAAGCTAGGATTCTTCTGAGCTCGCTGACAAACCAGGCAGCCAAGCTGCTCTGCTGCTAACAGAGCTGACCTTTCTAATGAACTCACTTACCTTCCAGGGCA